TGCTTTCTGCAAGAGAGCTGGGAGATACAGCTGCCTACCTGGGCTCATTGCTGTGTCCAACCACACGGGTTTTGTTACCACAGAAGAAAGGTTCAATGGCCATGGAGTGGGCACGGAATTTAATTATTACTTAGAATCAGACTCCCCTAAGCTTAGGAGGACTACACTGGCCACCAGCACTAAAAATAATGATGGATAGTTCCTGCTGGAGCTTGGGGACAGACAGACCAGGTGAGCTCAGGGGCTCTCACTCTGCTCTGCAGTCCTGGCTGACCCCAAATTTCATGTACAGTAGGGGGTACATTGTATTCCTCAAGTCTATGGAGATGGAAGCTTCCCCCAAAATTCCTGTGGGGATTCCCTTCCAGAGACATGCAGCTAGAGAGGGAGCCCACACTACATCCCCTACATAGGGCTTCCTCTGGGAACAGGCCTCTAAAGGGGTGGCCTGTGAGCCTGAGGGAGAAGAGGGAAAGACCCTGCAGAAGAGCAGGGGTGGGGGGACCTATCAGAGAGGCCAGGAGGGGCCTCTGAGAGACATCCAGGGGAAGGGACATCTACAGGTGGCTCACAAGAAGTCCTTGTGTGGGGTTCAGTGTAGGACACCTGACCCTGCCCCAGGGCTGGGGACACTCTTGAGAAGACAATGACATGCACACTACTCAGAGGATTTTTGAGTCCCTTTGGGGACTATGACTGGCTCCCACTGCCACCAAAGCTACGCTTCAGACTGAGGCAGCATCTCCACTCCAGGACAAGATTGTCCACCCCAAGCAAGCAAACCAAGTTCACTGCAGAGCAACAGCAGCACCCAAGGCATAACCATGGGCCCTGTGTTGTGATGGAAGGGAAAGGTGACAGAAATAGTCATAAACAGAAAACTCCTCAAGTTTGATGCCGTCAGTTCTCTGCAATGAAATCAGAAGATAATGGGATCAGAACTGTGAGAAACTCATTCATGGATTAAGGTTTTCTACATCGAAAATGTGGATGACAGTTTTGTGTTCGTTTGTTGTTGTCATTTTGAGGTTGGCATCCCTGTCCCCGTTATTTTCCTAAGCAATAAACACATCGGGTCCTCTGACTCACCTGCCAAGAAGTTTGGCGGTTCCAGCTGCGTTAGTGATAACAGCCACGCCCTCCTCGCCACAGCTCCCTCATGGGCTCCACTAGCTTCCTGCTTGGGCTACACCACATGTCACAGCCTTCACCGGGGGTCAGCTTCCCTGGACCCCTACAGCCTCCCCATCCTCACATCACCTGCCCAGCTCCCTCTCCCCACACTGAAAAGGCTGCTCCTAGGAAAAGCCTTCAGGGACAATTCCTTGTCCCCCGGGACCTACCCACCCTCTCTCCAAGCTGCTTCTGACCTCTGCAAGGCATCCAACAGTCACACCCCTCGGATTTGCAACAGAGCCTACTTCTTGGGCAGGGGTTGGCCAAGCAAGCTTGAAGCTTTTCCGGCTGTCCCTCCTCCCTGGTTCTGAGAATTTGAGGGCGGCCTTCCCTAGGCAATGCTCAAAGCTCCTCCCTCAGCCACGGCACAGGAGGCCCAGGAATCCTGCACGAGTTCTTTCTCTGAGCCACACCAAGCATCCCATGAGCGAGCGGAGTGGGTGCCCGGACACACCCCTGAAGGCCACTTGTCACAAACACTCCCCTGGGGTCTCAAAACAAAATACTGGGGGTTGGGTGCTGGAATGACAAAGAAAAGGACAGGGAGGAGACACAGGCCCCAGGAGGAAGAGGGCAGAGGTAGAAAGGGCCACTCCTGCCTGCTCCCAGCCCGGGAGGCCTCTCTAGCCAGGCCTTCCACTGAGCACCAGAAACAAAAGGGAGAATATGATTTGCATCCAAAATCAAAAGTATGTGATTTCACTAGAATGTCTGCTCCAACTGGACAAATATCTATTGTGTCAGTACTGATGCACATATTATATTAAGTTGCACATATTTACTCTGCACTAGCAAACAAAAACAATAATTCAGGGTTGCTATTTTCTCTATAACCAGCAACATGCAACAAATCAATTCCATTTTCTGAAATTCCTTGAGAAACACTCCCCGGCTAGGATGGCTGTCTTCCCCAAGCTATACATCACCTGCAGCGTCTTCTCCCTTCTCCAGGTTATTTGTGCTAATGTCCTGCATCTGCAGATTCTGGCCCCAGAGTCGGAGCAGCCTGCAGAGTTTCCAATTTCTTGAACTCTCAGTTCTGACCTGATTCCTGCCCCCAAGGAAATATAATGCTGCTTCTGGAATCTTTCTAAACTGCACAAGGACTGTGGTGGAAGGACATTTCAGAAATCAGAGTTTATGACTCAGGGCCTTGCAACAGCTGGGTTCCAGTATCTGCTCTGCCAGGTTTGTCGGGTCAGCCCCAGCTTCCCCTACTGGACCAAGGAATGATGAGACAGACCACATTTGCCAAAAGCCCTTTTGCAGCACTGTGCTTCAATGACAGAATTGCAGAGATCACAAGAACAGAGAAAGGTGAATGAATCCAGACCATCATTTACAAATTCACCCAGGGTTTACTGAGCGTGTACTGTAGGCCAAGCAAGTTCTTTCTTCTCCAGTTCAGGCTCCAGCTCTGAGGCCCAGATGTAATGATCTCTACCTTAAAAGAGGAAGCCTCGGCTCAGAGGGGCTGCATCCCCGCCTAGAGCACCACCGCTAGTGAGGGCCACAAATGTGAACATAAGTTCTTTGACTCTGGACTCAGAATGCCTTTCACTGCACCACTCTTTATGGGGAAACCTGTTGTATTCCATGGGTGGAAATTTCCCATCCGTTATGTGTGATCCACTTTTTAATCTAAACCTTACTGAAACACATACTCTTTAATGTCACATGGTTTCTCTTATATGAGAAACCCAAGATACTAGTACAGCAAAGAGCAAAATAAAAGACTGATAACAAAAAACCAAGCGACAAATCTTTTGCAAATGGGAAGGGGGTCAAGGACTGCAGAGAGAGGAGGGGAATAAAAAGAATTGAGCTGTGTTGTATACATGCACTGAGGAATGTGGTCATTGTGTATGGCAGACATGGATTAATAAAAATTTAAATTTAAAAATAATAAGACATTTTATTCTGGTTCAACCTCAAAAGATTACCTTATCTTGAAAATGTGGCCTCGAGCGCTGCTTCCTACTTCTAGAACAGCCTCGTTTAAACAGGAACTGGGAAAGGCGGAGTCCACAAGCCTGGGCCCCTCCCAGGTCCTTTCCAAGCCCCCACCCAACACAGGCTGCTGAGTCCCCCTTTTTAGACTGATGAGGGCCCTTTTACCGAGGACGTTGCTAAAATGGCATGGGGCTACTAATGGGAAAAGCATTTACTTTAGATTAAGAAGAGTGTAAAGTAGAGCTAGGCCCTCTATGACTGGCTATTAGGGATGTTAATTAAATATTTATAATGTCTAAATTAGCATAGTGAAAGCTCAATTCATCAATTTGTTCTGGTCTGTTTGTAAGGGGGGGAAATAACTCCAAATGCTCCTGCAGAAAGATGCGATGTGGGTCAATAGAAGATGACTGAGCAATTTATTATGATTGTGGTAAACTTTTTATTTTGATTTTATTTAAAGGCACTTGTTGCCGCACCCTACCTTAAAGACCATTTACCACAGTCAATATACTGGAGGGCCATGCATTATTCATCGTGATCCAATGAAAAATTTGCTAAGGTGCTTCAGTGCTGAATGTCTGATTGATTCATTGATTACCTGATAGTGCCTTCCAAAATGTAGGGACTAGGCTTCACAGGAGGACGCTGGGAGTCCCAGGTCTTTCCTATGTGGCTAACCAGCCTGCTCAAGGACCTCCATCTCCAAGCCTGAAATGGGATCTCGATAATAGAGCTATTTTCAGGCTTCACGGTTAGTAATTAAGAGGCACATTGAATCTTCCACGGAAAACTGCTAAGGATGTGGCTGTTTCTCCCTGTCTGGTGGGGAGAGGCCAAGCACATTAATGCCAATGCCCACAGCCTGTGGGTGCTTCCTGTCTTTTGTAAATTGCATTACTCACGATTCTCTTTCCCTCGATTTATTAGAGGAAAGTCTCAGAAGGGTAAGGCCAACTGCTCCAGCTATTTGCAGCTGTAAATGACCCTCACAGGGACACAGCACTGTCCCACTCCCAGCCCAGTGGCCTGCAGCTAGCTGGAGCTGGTTACACTCTCACCTGGCTAGGTTGGGGGAAAGTGGGAGTTTTGCAGACCCACACTGCCACCCTGTCCAGCAGCCCCGGTCATCTTTAAGAAACGCACCTCTTCTCTGAAACTCAAACAATAAAACTTTCTGAAGACCTTTCAGCTTGCTTTGGCGACAATGAACTCTCTTCTCTCCTGCAGGCGTGCCGGTAGCTTGGCCAGGGAGAATGGACCGGCAACCTCTTTCTGCCCACTCCTCTGATCCCCCTCTGCCTCCCTTAGACAATCTGTCCTTCCCTGGAGAGGGCCGGTGTGCAGGGTTAAAGGTTCTCTGGTTAAAATAGCCCAACAGAAGGAGCCGGGTCCGGAGCTGAAATCTAAGTGCTAATGACCGCTGCCCTTCACCCCGCTGCTCTCCGAGGCTGGACCCGAGGCCCAGTGAGGGACGAGACTGGACGGGGCACAATGTTGCGCATTTAACATTTGAACTTCTCCCACCCGAGGCAGCAGGCCGTTTTGTCCTGGGGTCGCTGACCCCGGCTCCCCATCAGCTGCCCTGAAACCTTAATTGAATGACAGATGGTCATTTTCAGGAGAGCCAGAAGCTGCGGGCGGCGGGCGGCATGGCCAGGCTCGGCCAGGCGGTCCCCACTGGAGTGGGGTCGGGGCACGGGGTCGGGGCTGCGCGCTCCCGGGGGAGCGGAGTCCTGGTCCCCTAGCTGCCTCGGGGTCCAGAGCTCCAGGCAGCCTGGAGGTGGCCCCGCCTGCCCTAGAAGGAGGCGCAGGGGCCCCCATCGCTCCTTTTCTGGGCCGGAGTCCAGCCTCCCCGGCCCTAGGCCCGGATGCCAGCCCCGGGGCCCGGTGCGCTTGGCACGCCCGGCCTGCGGCCGCTGCTGCGCGGGGCCTGCGGCCCAGAGGTGGGCGCCCAGAGGCCCAGCCGCACTGCCTCCGCGCCGGCTCCTATTTCTTTAAAATCAAAGCTTCGGGCCTACAATTGCTGGGATTGCAGCGCGGTATTGATCCGCAGCCGGCATCAGGGCCCGCGGCCTCGCTGCCCAGCCCCCGCGGCCGGCCTGCGAAGCCCAGAGGCTGGGTTTCGGCACCGTGCACGCCGCCGCTGGTACCCGGCCACCCCTCCGGCCAGCGCGCGTGGGCTCCAGGCCCAGCCGACTAGGCCCCATCTTCACTGGTTTTTTTCCTTCCTTCTTTTTTAATTAGTGCAGGAAAATATACATGGAAGCAAAAAAAAAAAATCCGCCTCCCCCGCAGGCGCGGCCTTCTAATGCACAGGGCCTGACATCGACTTCCGCGCACGGATCGAACCTTCGATCGCGCCGATTTGCATAGCGGGCCCGCGCCCCGCCGCGCCCGACTCCACGCCGAGACCGCGCAGGCGAGGCCGGGCGCTCCCGGGCTCTGCCTTCCTCCCTCGGTGCCCGGGGGACCGGGCTGCTCACGGCCGCAGACGTGTGCGCGGGCGAGCGCGGAACGCGGCGGGAGACGATCTCCGCCGGCACCGCGAAAGGAGCCGAGGGCGCCCAGGGCCCCGCCGCGGACCGCGCGGAGGACAGGTACCACCTGCGCGGCGCCGCGGCCCGCTCCCCGCGGGCAGGGGTGGGCACCGCAGGGCGAGGACCCGGGCTGCGAACCGCGCTCCCGCTCCCGGCTCCTGCGCGAAACGGAGCACACTGACCCCGCTTCCCTCCCTCCTGGAGGCGCATCCTGGACGCGACGCGCCCTCGGGGTAAGGGGCCTCCCGGGCTTGGGCGGCGGGGAGGGGCTCGCGGGGCTGAGGGTTCCGGGCTCGCGGGGCTGAGGGTTCCTCCCCCGCGCTACTCCCCGCTTCCGCCCCGCCCCGCGAGCCCCGACCGGTCCGTGAGCTCCGGGCCGCGCGGTGCGCGTGGGGCGTCCCGCTGGGCCTGGCGCGCGCCCGCGCCTCCGGCCCACCGAGCAGCCCGGGATTGCCCCAGACGAGCTCGGCAGCGCTTCCCGTCCGGGACACGGCGTCTGAACCTGGCGCCTCTCCACATCCAGCCCGACCCCAGGAAAGCCGAGCCCTCCCGGCCTGACCTTGCGCAACTGAAGGCCAACCCTGCGCGTCCCGCCGTCCCTCTGAACGGGGCGTTCCGGCGGCGGTGGCAGAATTTCGGGTTTGCTTTGTTTCTCTAGTGAAGAGAACGCACTCTCCTACCCTCAAAGAGGCGTCCAGGCGTACTTCCCTGAGTGTTCGTGGCTGATACTGGTTCCGAACCTGTCTGGCCCTGAGCCTTTTCGTTTCTCCTGTTTTATGCAGATCACTCGAGGTGTTTTTCTCATTTGAAAAATCTTGGTATTTTTAAAAATACGGTATTTCTCTGATCGTTTCATATCTTAACCACCAGATAAGTAAGAAAATTAGGAATTCGATAGTTGGAAAGCAGACTGGGGAGGAAAATTAAATCCAACACCGACTGGAAATATGCTGGACAGATGAAACGACAGTGACAGAAGACAGGAGAGTAATTTACCTGAAAAAAAGAAAGAGATTAGGCTCTGAATTTTCCAGATTGTAATGACAATACGAAATAAATCCAAAGAAATTGCTTCCCTGACACTCTATGTACAACCAAAGCAGAAGCCCTGGTGCGTGGATGGCGATGGCGTGGTCAAGTGGATATTTGAGGCCTTTCAAGTGACAATTCAGCTTGGGGACATTTGCATAGTCTTTCAGCAAAGTACAGCCGATTAGGTGGCCTTTGGTCCTGGCGGAAAACAATTTATAATTTATATCCACCTGTGGGGGGTAGCACTCTACTGAAATCAAGAGTGGTTTCTAGGGAGTTAACCTCGGCAGAAGTCTCTCCAGTGAGCAGGACAAGGTAGAGAGGCCTGCTGCTCCAGAGGGGCGGCCACACGCGACCTTTCCTCTGGCTGTGTTCTGGAGAGGAAGGCTCTGAACTTAGCTTTGGGTTTGTTGCCTCTCTTGCTCTCTTAAAACAGTAACTCAAGATGTAAGTAAAAGTGTTTTCATTTCTTATTGATCCCACTAACATCTTTCATTATCCAACTTGTAGCCACAGCAAATTATTGCTCATTTGATACCAAGAATTCTATTGACCACGGCTTTCGTTGGAGAGCGAATTCTAACTACTGGCTGCTCTGTTGTCAGCTAGAGCTGAGGCTGGGAACCTTCCACAAGGCTGTGACGGCACACAGAGTCCTCTGCTCCAGGAAGTGCAGAGGTGCGTTCCTTACGGGGGCCCACTGGACTCGTGTAGAAATCTGCTTTTTGTTCTGCGGGCCAGCAAAAGGTCAGCCTCTTTGGAATGAAACTGCCCACTCATTTGCCTCTCAGAACCTTTCTAGCAACTTCTTTTCAGCTCTGGCCATGGTAGGCAATGAAATGATGCAAACAGATTGCTCCTCGATCCTTTGGTCACCACTGCCCCAACACAGACACTTGGAGAAATCATTCACACCTCCCCGCCTCAAAAAAAAAGTCTAAATGAGAGGCTTTACTGTCTGGCTATGATTTCCTAAATTTCACTGCCCTATCCCACTCCACCCCTTCCAGACCCATGCTGTCGCAGCGGGGCAGAGCAGGGAGTGGGTGCCATGAGGTCCACTGTCCCTCATGCAGTGGCCACTCAGTATCCAGAGAAGGCTGACCTCTGACCCCAGGCCAGCTGCTGTCGGGCTGGAGCTGTCCTGGCTACAGAGAGGACCTGAAGGGTTTGTTCCCGGGAAGCTGCTGGCAGCAGATTCAGCCCTCTTGCACTGGGAGGAGCCAGTGCCGCCAAACCTAGGCCGACCTCTGCCTTGCACCAGGTGGCCTCTATTCCAGCGGGTGGGCATCATGGGGGACAGAAGACCTGACCCACCCAGCCAGGGTGTGTGAGCCCCCCCCCCAGGCAAAGGGAGCCGAAGCCGAGCCCTTCTGCAGCCTTCTTCCAGAACATTGGGTCCCATCTGCGGCCCCTGAAGCCCTGGACCCAGAGACATGGACACCCTTAGCAGAACCTTGTCCCTGGCGCCTCCGAGGAGGATACAGCACCTTGAGGTTGGGTGCAGATGGAGAGAAAGGCCAAGGGCCGGTTTCCAAAGAGCACTGGGCAAGTGCGGCCCCAACAGCATCAGCTCCCAAAATCCGAATCCCTTCAGGGGCTCCAGCAGACTGGCTTGGGGTGATCGTCCCAGGTGCTGTTTCCCCCACTACTGGCCTCGCTGGGCAGTTAGGCAGAGCCTTGTTCCCAGATGGGTTCGCTTGGAGGTCCTTCAGCTTCTGGACGGTGGGGAGTATGGACGGGGTCGCATTGTAGGGCTGTATTTGCCTCGGCTTTTCCTTTTTGTTTCTAACATAGATAACGCTGGTGTGTGTTGTCTGCCTGCACCCAAAGCGATGGTGTTCCTGGAATGCAAGCACCGCCCGCCATGCTTGGAGCATCCTGCCGCAGAGAGAACACTTTCTCCTGGTCTCAGCCCAGACTGACAGCCTGGGGGCCTCGTAGGACACTCGGCCAGATGACACACACACAAGGGCACCCAGAACCTGTGTCGTGGGCTCCCGGGCAGCTGTGGATCCAGGAGGCAGGCTGAGCAAGCCAGCAACACTCGCTGCCACTTGTCCAGAAAGCAAGAAAGCGGCAATATCCTCAGTGTTATTTAAGGGAAAAAGACTGGGACCTGCACTGGAGTTTAAAAGTTAGGGGCGGGCTGCTCCCCAGCATTTCTTTGGAAGGAGGCAGAACTGAGAGCTATGCAGCTGGCTTGGCGCTTCAGCCCATAGGAGAGGAGGAAATTCTCCTCCTCCTCGCTGCACCTTGGAGCAGGTCCTCTGGCAGAGCTCTCGGCTCCCCAGCACCCCGTCAGCCTCCTGCCTCTCCTGCCAGGCCAATGGAACCAGCAGAACTCGATAGTAAATTATTTTGTTCAGCCCTCTGTCTTTTTATGAAAATAAAAGCCAACACTTTGTCATTTTTAATCACGTAAGCAGACAATAAATCCAATTTCGATATTGATTTTTTTTTCCAGAATCAAGTGATTTTTTGCAGTGTCTGTTGTGTTTCCTTTTGCGAAAAAGAGCCGCTGGCCTCAGAGCGGTGGGGGTGAGGCAGCCTGTGCAGCCAGCTCCTCTGAAACAGGCCACGGCTGTGGACTTTGAAGCCAGGCAGCTGAGCTGAGCTGCAGCTCTTAGCTGTCCCGGTGTCTAGGTGTCCTCTAGTTGTCTGGATCATGGTTTCCACTTAGCCATCCCTGGTGCCCAAGATACAGCTAAGGCTCAGCCAGTGTTTTTAGGGCTATAGATCCTGAGACTCACTTTGCTTAAATATTTTTAATAGAATAAAAAATAACCCAAAAAAATCTTAGCAAGAGGCACTTTGCCCTCCCTCCAGGAATATGGAGGCCAGCTCAGGCCTGAGTGGGCTCCAATACGGGGGAGCTGCACCTGAGGGCCTCAGTCCCCCAAGCGTGGGGGTGTCCTCCACACCCTGACGCTCACCTGTCTCCCTGTTTTCAAGAGCACCATTAGTTTATGTTGGTGCCAAATGGAGCTGGCACCGCCCTGTGAGTCCTGAGGTGCTGGGGCCTGTGCCAGGCTCGACCTAGAGAAGGGCAGGTGGGAGGACAGAGATCTGGGAGCAAAGGTAAGGAAAGGGTAGAGGAAAAGAAGGGGAAGGAGGGAAAGAAGAAAGGAGAAGCGGAGAGGGAAGGGAAGAAGGAACGAGAGGCAGTATGGAGGAGAAACAAGAGACTGAGGAGAAATGGAAGCGACAGTTGTGAAGGACGAGGGGGAGGGAGGGGGAGGGGGAGGGGAGGGGGAGGGGACTTTAAGAGACCCGCTGAGGAGCCGGACAGGTGCTTCAGGTGGCAGCTGCTTGTGTGAGTGCCACACCTCTGGCTGCCGCCGCTGCTCCCTTTGGGCTCCAAGGCCTCTAAGCTCTTGTTCCAAGCCCACAGGGTGGTCCAGGGCGCGGACACACACACGCTCACACACACACACACACACACACACACTCGCGCGCGCGCGCGCACCAGCCTGGGGGAGGGGACCCGATGGCGCTGCACCCCGCGGAGGGGGAGGGGACCGCGGCCGCACTGACCCTGGAGCTCTGACCTTTCCTGCCGTCCTCGGGGTCAGGATTTAACCTTTCGCTTCCTCACCCTGCGCCCTCCTCCCTCTGTGGCCCTCGGCTAGGGGGAAAGGGACAGTGGTCGATATTGGGGCGGGGGGCGGGGCGCACACCACCAGGACCTCGAGGATCGCTGCTCTGAGCCGGGCGCCGCCAGGGCTCCACGAAGCCAGGGCCACTGAGGCACCGGGGGCTCAGCCCGGCCTGGGAGCGGCCTCTCCGGGTCAGGTGCCGGCCATGGTGTGCATTGGGGGGCTCCGCGGGCTCTGGCCAAGGCGGCAGGGTTGAACCTCACACCCAACTCTTCCCGCCCCCCGCGGCCTGGGCGCTGGACCCTCCTCCCGGCCTGCGCCAGGACAACCAGTGAGGAAATCGGGCCAAAGCCGTGGCCCTGGGCCGCACTAACCCGGCTCCCCGGGCCGAGAGCAGCCTCCCGGCGCTCCCGCGCGGCGCCCGGGGGACCCCAGGGACCGGAGGCGCGCACCGGAGGCCCAGGGTCCCTGCGCCGCTCCTCGCCCTGGGGCTTTCGCGGTCTCCCCAGCCGGAGCCCAGGCTGCCCGGAGCCAGGAGCCTTTGGTTCAAATGCATCAGGGCTCTGAAGTCATTTATCCGGTTTCATAAATAATTTTCTTATTACACTTAAGCCCGATTCCTGCCCCCTTCCCGTTTTTATTGCGGGGTTTCAGCGGCTAAAAAGTTTCTAAGTCGGGTGGACCGTTGTTTTCCTTTTTCCATCATTAACATCATTAATATAAGCTATCAATAACCCTGTCGTTGGGAGCCGAGTTTCACGGTATTGATCCACGCAGCTATTCATCTCTGCCATGCAAGACACGGAATAATTTTCGCATTACAGTAGCTTGGATTTGCTTTTAATTCATATTTAAAGCTGCAATCGGCTCAGTGGAGCGCTGTGCGCAAGACTAGAGGCGCCTAATTAATAATAAGTTAGAAACGGAGGAAGGCACCGGCGAATAAATAATTAATACAGACATCTATGTCTCTTTGAATATTGCTCCTTTAAAAATTTAGACTTGCCAGGACTATACTGTAAGTCTGCAATTTATATTGTGGGGATGATTTAAGAAAGCTATTTTTTTCCTTGAAATACAATACTAAATTATTCAGTGCTTTGCAAACTTAAGTTCCTTCATTAGCCAGCTCTTCTGGTTTATTCCCTCCAGGTGGAAACACCAATTTTAAACAATAATACTAAGAATCATGAACCCCTGCCCCCCTGACATTAGCATGGGCCGAAGGGCAGGAAGAGTTGGGTGTAGGGTCTCAGGCCCAGAGCTCCTCGGATTGGCACCTCCAGGGCTCTGTCAGGCAGGGGAACAACACAAACTGTGGCCACTGGCCAGCGACTTTGGGCATTCTTATGCTGAAAGGGACACGGAGTTTGAAGACTTCCAGTGCTCAAATGCCCCCCGGAGAGAGGAGGCTAGGACTTCAAGGGTCCCAGAATGTGCCCCCACTCATAGCAAAAGAAAATAAAAATCTGGGATTTTAGAGAAGGCCTGTCAAAGGAAGGATCAAATTCCAGGAGCTACCAGTGGACCAAAGGGGAATAACAAACTTCAAGGGGGTAGGAGTGACTGAAAATCCGAGAAGGGTTTTCTGTGAGAGAGACTAGGATTTGTTTGCAATGTTGTTAGCAATATTGATTTTTTTGTTACTTGGATTAATGTATGTTAAACAGGAAAATACAGGCATTAGCCAAGTACATTATAATCATCTATTGTTAAGGGCTAAGTTTCTCAGGCTGATGATGGAGATGGGAAGTGCAGGACAGGTCCAGGAGCAGTGGGGAGTTCTGCTCAGGCCCCCAAAGCCAACTCAAGCCCTGGGCCCCAGGTGGATGAAGGAGTGGTCACTTCCAGCTCACTCCCCGCTCCCCCTTTTAGAAGGGCCTCATAGTACACAGCCCCACTGCCCCATCAGCCTCCACCTACTGCCGCAATACTCCCCTAAATGTTGAGGGATCCAGAAGATACGGGTCCCCTTGGCCACCTGCTTCCCCCAAAGTTGTCCACAGCCCCACAGCCCCTCCTCTGGCCTCCAGCCTGGTGATCATCCCTCCACCCCTCTGGGACTCCTGCAGGCCCATACACGGGCCACAGTGTGGGGGACACAGGCTTGGCTAAGTGGGAGCTCTGGAGACCCTCGTGCCCAGACCCCTGGTGCTCCTCACCCGATTAGCCAGCCAGGCCCAGAGAGCTGAGCTGGGAGGTGACAGTCACAGAAGGCCCCCCTCCCCCAGCTCCCTGCAAGAGCAGGTCTTCTGAGCTCCATGGAAACCAGAGGCGCACCCCTAGGACCCCTAGGTCCTGGACTGCTTCAGGAAGGAGCAAGAGAGCAGGGGCCAGAGAGACGAGGACGCCCGCCGACTCCATAATCCCACGCCTGGATGGTGCTGAGGCCAAAGGGGACAGCGCAAGGCGCCTACCCCGAAAGAGAGAGTGGAACTGCACTGTTCCAGAGGGGGAGGAGGAGCAGGCAGCCAGCCAGGCCCGGCAAGTGGCGCGGGAGAGAGGCGCAGGCCAGGGGCGGGCGAGGAGCCTGGAACACCGGGGTTTTATTTTTAAATCTTCTAGGTGTCTGTGGGTCAAATAAAGACAAGGACAATAACGATTATTCTGTTAAATCTATGGTACTTGACTGCGCAAACACTAATTGATTAGACACCAAAATGATTTGTTTAAAGAGTTTCCTTCCCGGGTGCAGCTGCTCTCGGCCGTCAGCCTCACCCCTCACAGTGCGCTCAGCACACAGCATCCGGGCCGGCCCGGGAGCCAGGCTCCAGCCTTCCACAGACCTCCGGAGTAGGAGCTGTGCCTGGAGACCTCAAGGGTGACACTGCCCCTGCACCCCTCCAAATTCCCCTTATTGAACAGCAGGAAGCCAGTCCTTTCCAGCCCGGCCCAGGGCTAATCAGGAGCCGCAGCCCCAAATGCCAGGCCCTGAAAGGGAAGCATGACACTTCCCCGCCTCCCACAGCCCGGGCTGGCTCCTTCGTGACACATTTCCATGATACACAGGCATGACCACAGAAGAAACACCACTGACAGCTGGTGGCTGCCAATGGGACCCCCAGTTCAGTGCGGGACCCTAAGGAACGCCCCCCTCCATGCAAAGACTCCTCAGGACCCCCTCTTCCTCCAGCACTCTGGGACCAGAGCCTTGACCAGCCCTCACCAAGGTGGGCAACCCAGGAGCAGCCGCCTGTGGGTCACCCAGGGCCTGGGAGAGCAGAGCATCCTCCTCAGCCCAGAAAGCACCCGGGGTGCAGCCAATTGCCCAGGCCTCTCCGAAGCCCCTTGGCGATCGATCTCAGCAGGTCCTGGGCCTCTGAAGTGAGCTGCTCTTGTTGGCAGAGCTGCCCATCCTTCGCACAGAATCTTCTCTCTGGGATTTGGAGGCCTGAGTTTTCACTAAAAGATGGAACAGAAGAAAGCACAAACATGCCAAGTCAAAAATACTGTTTCCATGGGCAAAAACCATAACTTAAGAAGGAAAAGAGAGGGTGAACAAACAGTAAAAACTATGGCTAAATAGAAGATTAAAGATTGAAGAATGGGGCTAGAATAATTGGTTACAAACCTTCCTTGGCCCTAGAGATGAAAAACCATCACTAATTTTTTTCTTTATGGTGCTGGCTTTGAACTCGGGGCCTGGCACCTGGCATGCACCTTACCAATGAGCTGCACCCCTGCTCAGTGACCAGTTGGGGTTTTTTAAAAACAGTTTTTGATAGCAAAACACCAGGCCACTGACTTCTAGATTTCTTGATGTTCTAAGTCAGCAGCAATTCCTAACATTTTTGGGAGGTAGGAGGACAGAGAGGAAGACAGGAGTCCCCAGCAGGACCCACGTTCCACCCCCAGGGTCCCAGTGTGGCCCAGCCCTATCCTGAGGCTGTAGCCAGGAAGCCAGTCTTCAATGGACCCCGGTGGGGAGGCACACCCTTCGAGCCAGCCCAGCAAATGAGGGGCTAGAAACATTCAAAACTGGGGCTGGGCCAGGTGCTACATCCCTATCACTTTAAAGGAGACCCAACACTTTACTTCTGAGCCAAAGGTTCCAGAGAAGCCCGGTGTGGCCAACATTAGGAGGAACTGCCTTATTCTGTTTCCTTTCTAAGCGGGGTGGGATTGCCTGGCAAGCTTTTAGCCCACCCAGCATAAGACAAACTATACCCCCTCCCCTGCTCCAGGACTCTTCTCTCAACATTTACAAAATAAACATCCTGAAAGCCTTGTTTCCACACTGAAAACATTGCCAGCAACAAGCATCCAGTCAATAGTCTTATTCCACTTTTTTTCATATATGCTTGTATGTAATTTTCTGATGTTAACATTATTTCTTTCTTTCAACTCCTTGAAGCTACTCAAACTCTGAGGAGCTAACTGCAGCCCCCAAGCATGCACACATTGACCTAAGTTCCAAGGAACGTTAGTTCTCTCACCCTCTGTAGTGCACCCAACTGGTGCCAGGCATTGTGCTGGGCAGGTGGACAGGACAAAAGGACAGAAAGCCATTCCAGCCCTCCAGCAGCTGACAATGCCTCTTGTGCCCCGGGCCTCCACTCACCTGAACTAGGCCCAAGAAGAGCATCCTCCTCCCTACACCCTCTTGGGAAACTTTTGAGAGGTCAAGTCTGAAAAATCACTAAAACTCATCAAAGACAGGGAAACCGCTGTTAAATAAAAGGTGTGAAAAGCCAAGAAAGATGAGATTTGCAAGCCGAAGCAAGTCCTGCACATGCATTTTTTAAAAATGTTTCAGAAAAAAGGGTCAAACACTGAATTGAGCAGGCTCAACACACTTGTCCAGATCTTTCTCTTCCCTTCTCCTTTGGGGACCAGCACTTGACAAGGGGTCCCCTTTTCACAAAGGAGGGTGCAGAGAGGGAGGTGAGCTCACTGGATGCCACCTCACCTCTTTTAGTGGCCTCTAGGGGCTCAGCCAGGAGCCTCAGAGGAAAGAGGGTTTCTGGGATCAAGTCCCTAATTAGCTACACAAAGAGAAAACCATGGACAATTTGTGCACGTGGTGGCATTTACTTCTTTAACACACTGCCTTGTGAGAAGAGTTGTCATAAGGGCAAATCAATCATTTCCATGGGATTAAAATAAGAGGGGGCAGTTTAGCTCAAAGGCTGCCTGATACTTTAACCCATTGTTTGTTGTCATCTCATGAAGGCCTGAGGCTCTGTACCATACGAAAAAAAGAACAGAAATAATTTTTTTAAATGATTCAATTTCTTACCAGCATATTGTGATCCATTAGATCAAAAACATGTGTTATGCTGAGTTCAATCCCCGGTACAAAAAAAACCAAACATGTTTTATGCTTACATATTTGTGTGTATGAAGAGGTGGATATAGAGATAAGTTGAAATACAGTCGTTTTGTTTCCTGAGTTCATTTTGGCCCGTGTATGTTCCCCAAAGCCTTTTCCTCCGGAGGAGCAAGACTCCGAGCTCCTAAATGTCCCTTGGGAGGGACCCCCTTTCGGGGCCTCCAGACACGTGACTGAGACAGGACCAGAGTGTGGGTCCCAGCCAGCCAGATTAGCCAGCCCAGAATACCCCGACCTTGATCCACCTGGCTCATGGTGCTGCCTGGCAGTGACAGGACCCGGACAGAGCGATGGGCTGCTCCCGCCCTACCTGGTGGGGACCCGGCCAAGGGGCTCCTCCCAAACATTTGTCCTGTGGTCTAGGCACCGCCACCGCTGCCAACTCAGCCCCTGCCTCTCAGGGTCTAGGAACATCCGAAGCGGAAACATAGGCTGCTGGGCCCCGGCCCGGTTCTAACAACCCAGTCCGCATCTGCGCTGGCCCAGCAGCGAGGCCACACACACTTCCTCCCGGGACTGGGCCGATGGGCTCCTGTCCCCATTGTGAACGCGCTCGCTCTGGGCTGAGGCTCGGCGCTGACCCGGCCGTAACTGCCAAGGGCCGGGACAATGGGCACATCTGTCCTTTCTCCAAGGGGATGAAAGCACCTAAGCGACACGGCTCTGCCTTTTGTTACGGATTTTTTCTCTCTTTTGTCAATGAAAGAAAGCCAAGGCATGTGGTGGTCGGGTATAGCCCCGCACTGGGGGCCTCCCCACGAGTCCCTACCAGACCTGGGACCAGGGTCCATCCCGGATTGGAGCGTCACTGTGGTAGGGCACGATTACGCCCGACGCTGAATTGATTTTCAAATCTGGAGGCTTCGCTGGCACGTCGGGAAGACGGCGTCCCCGGGGCCAGGCGGAGCCCCGCGCGCCCGCCCGCCTGCCCGCGTCCACCCTCTTCGCTGGGGCTGCTCGCCAGAGGAGAAGCTCGGAACCACCGCGGCCCGCACCCGGAAGCTAGCGGGGAGCCCACCGGGGCGCGCACCCCTATCGACCCGAGAGGGAGAGGAACCGGGGGTCTGGACCACGAGGTACGGCCCGGTCGGGACCCCTGGCACCGGGGCGCGGAGGAGGACCCCGGGGGGGGCGCGGTGGGCAGCCGCCAAGCTGCGCCTTGAGGGTGCCTGCGCCACGGCCTAGCATCTAAGGGTGGGGACAGCGGCAACTTCCGGCAGCCCCTCGGGAAAGGAAGCGCGGCGGGTGCGGAGCGGAGGGAGGACGCGGCCCCAGCTCAGGCGCGGCCGCGGCGCGAGGGCGATGGCTGCTGCTCACAGCGCGCCCACGGCGGCCGGGCCCGGGGGAGCGTCCGGGCGCGGGAGGAGGAGCCCAGCGCCGCGGCGCCGGCGAGCG